TCACCAGTCATTCTTGAAATGCAAAGGTCGCCAGTCATTCTTGAAATGCAAAGGTCACCAGTCATTCTTGACATACAGAGGTCACCAGTCATTCTTGACATACAGAGGTCACCAGTCATTCTTGACATAGAGGTCACCAGTCATTCTTGACATAGAGGTCACCAGTCATTCTTGACATACAGAGATCACCAGTCATTCTTGACATACAGAGGCCACCAGTCATTCTTGACATACAGAGGTCACCAGTCATTCTTGACATACAGAGGTCACCAGTCATTCTTGACATACAGAGGTCACCAGTCATTCTTGACATACAGAGGTCACCAGTCATTCTTGACATACAGAGGTCACTAGTCATTCCTGACATGCAAAGGTCACTCACTAAATGTCTCACCTTGATTTTCAAAGTATTATTTTCTGAAATTAATTCTGTGTTCTTGGCAGTCATTTTTTCTGTAAATTGTAGCAACTCAGACTGTTTTTTATTGTTGCTTCTCCTATCACTCTCTAAGTCAGTATTGTTGGTTTCTAATGTCTCCAGTTCTTCTTCCAGTCTCTGTACTGTTGCTCTTTCACTGTAATATAAGTGTCAACATGAGTGAGATGACATGGTGAAGTGTTGCCAACAACTCTTTAGGTTATATAAACTGATCACACCCACTTTCAGCGCTAACTTTTCTGGCTGAAATAACTGACTTTACAAACTTTTTGCCTCAACTGTTCTGACTGAACTAACAGACCACAGACTTTTAGCTCTCAACTGTTCTGACTGAACTACAGACCACAGACTTTTAGCCCTCAACTGTTCTGACTGAACTAACAGACCACAGACTTTTAGCCCTCAACTGTTCTGACTGAACTAACAGACCAGAGACTTTTAGCCCGAAACTGTTCTTTCTGAACTAACAGACCACAGACTTTTAGCCCTCAACTGTTCTGACTGGACCACAGACTTTTAGCCCTCAACTGTTCTGACTGAACTAACAGACCACAGACTTTTAGCCCTCAACTGTTCTGACTGAACTAACAGACCACATACTTTTAGCCCTCAACTGTTCTTGCTGAACTAACAGACCACAGACTTTTAGCCCTCAACTGTTCTGACTGAACTACAGACCACAGACTTTTAGCCCTCAACTGTACTGACTGAACTAACAGACCACAGACTTTTAGCCCTCAACTGTTCTGACTGAACTAACAGACCACAGACTTTTAAACCTCAACTGTTCTGACTGAACTAACAGACCAGAGACTTTTAGCCCTCAACTGTTCTTGCTGAACTAACAGACCACAGACTTTTAGCCCTCAACTGTTCTGACTGAACTCCGAAACTGTTCTTTCTGAACTAACAGACCACAGACTTTTAAACCTCAACTGTACTGACTGAACTAACAGACCACAGACTTTTAGCCCTCAACTGTTCTGACTGAACTAACAGACCACAGACTTTTAGCTCTCAACTGTTCTGACTGAACTAACAGACCACAGACTTTTAGCCCTCAACTGTTCTGACTGAACTAACAGACCACAGACTTTTAGCCCTCAACTGTTCTGACTGAACTAACAGACCACAGACTTTTAGCCCTCAACTGTTCTGACTGAACTAACAGACCAGAGACTTTTAGCCCTCAACTGTTCTGACTGAACTAACAGACCACAGACTTTTAGCCCTCAACTGTTCTGACTGAACTAACAGACCACAGACTTTTAGCCCTCAACTGTTCTGACTGAACTACAGACCACAGACTTTTAGCTCTCAACTGTTCTGACTGAACTAACAGACCAGAGACTTTTAGCTCTCAACTGTTCTGACTGAACTAACAGACCACAGACTTTTAGCCCTCAACTGTTCTGACTGAACTAACAGACCACAGACTTTTAAACCTCAACTCTTCGAATGAACTGTTTTAAAATTAACTACCAAATTATTGGTGTTTCTAACAAAAACCTATTATTATTACAAAAGTAACTTACGTTTTCAGTTCATCTTCCAACATCTTCAACTGATGCAATTGTTTGGCCAGTTTCCTGTTTTCTTCTTTCTGATTGTTGAGAGTTTCTTTAAACTGAACTAGGACATTCTCATTTTGTGATTTCTCCTGTTCCAATCGGCTCACCTAGTACAAATATTTTATGAATAAAATCAGATGAAAACAGAAAATAATCAAAGAACAGGCTTCATGCAGTTGTACACAGGTGGAATAGTTATAACAGGCGACAAAGAATAAATTGAAAACACAAGGGGGGAAAAAAAAAACTTTAATAAATATTTATACAAAAATATGAGAAGCAAGCATAAGGATACATGTAAGTCATTAGTTGTTGTTTTTCTTGTGTTCTTTCATTTATAGTGAGTGTTCTGGATATGTTTTGCATTATTCAGGTTGAACAATCTCACTTATCCCCTACATAACTGTCAGTCCAACAATGTGCCTTACTCCGCAAGCTAAAGACTTTTATTGTGTACAACGTATACAAAATATCATTCAACTCTTTTCAGAAATATTACATGTATACATTTTTCAAGTGGCAAAATTAACAAAATATTTTCTAGTATCAAGCAAACATTTCTATATGCACTTGGAAGTACAGAGAGATGAGGGTCACCACTGATCCAAGTAAGTTAGTTGATATGCATGACATGCTACTTACTAACCAGTATGCAAATAAGTTGAGCAAATTTAACAAGATACATTGTATTTATCACGATGTCATATTAATTGAGAAGCGTTCTAGTCATACAGTATGCGTTTCAACTCCATATAAACAATGTATTTTTAACATGTGTTGCATGGGACACATATCCAACCTGATGCAGCGTGATAGCCCTGACGTTTTAAATAGTATCCATACCTTCTCAGTAAGTAAATTATTTTCACTGGATTTGCTCTTCAAAGTACGTTTCAAAGATTCTAATTCCTTGTTAACTTGGTGAAATATCTAGTAAAATAGAAGTTATGCATGTAAATTACAGCGAAGTGATGACGAATATCAAAATTCATAGAAAAAGAATATTGAGATGAAAACGTGTTTATCTTGGAATTTACAGAAAGTCATTGCTTACTTCTTCCTGATCTGACTTGTGTCTTTTTTCTGTTTCAAGTTCTGAGAGCTTCATTTTTAATTCGATGTTGAGTGAATTGGACTTGATCTCTTCATTCTCCTGTGAAATACCAATATATATATATATAAAAATAAAGTACTGAGGTATTTCAGTATTTAATATGTATCAATCTTTGAATGCCATAGTTGTAATTTGTCATGTTTTTCAAATTAAACCTGCATATTTTTTTTTTTTTTTACATATTTTCAGTTAATGGTAATTATATCCATTTCATCAAAAATTATCAAAGAAATTATGAACAAGCATTGACAATGCTCAGTCCCTGCCGAATTGCATCACAAGCAGCAACCCAGAAGTGTGGGTGTACATTTGGCTAAATAGTATAATACTTGTATGCAAACTTCCTATTGAATCAAGCAATACATAAGAATCGGCATGAACATGAATAAAAAGAAAATGACCACCAGATGGCCATTTTCAATTGAATCTCAAACAAATATGACATGCACCAACATGCATGATAACGATACAAAAAATGTTGGTGAATTTCTATCTAGAATTGTCAGCTTTTGAAAACATGTGCGAATAAACATGCAAAATATTCTGGGAATTATGGAAAAATGAAAAATTACACTGTATGACATGGTGCTATTTGAGCCAAGAAGAGACATAATGTGCAGTAGGAGCCATGACAAGATTAAGATAATACACCATTCCTATAGTCTTAGTGATGAAATGCTTCTGTTACGTAGATGGGTGCAAGGGACGACGTACACAGCGTCGATATTGTTTTTATCTGTGTTGTCCATCTATAAACAAACGCTGTTTTTTTTTTACAGATTCTATGTGCAATATAATAACAAACTACACAACTAAACAGTTGTATATTTTGTTCACACTCATCACACCATTTTGACATCACAGAAATGATATGTCATGACAAATGTTACCTGGTATGTTTTAATCATTTCTTTACAATTATTCCTGATTTGTTCCGTTTCTTCCCTGGCTTCAATTAGTTTGGCTTCAGTCTTCTGTAATTTCAACTTGGTTTCCTTTAAAAAAAAGTTATCAGAACTGAGAAAAAAATCTCACAGACACACAACAAAATTTGTTATTGAAAAAATCAAAGCTAATCAGTTTTGTCATTCTCCCCCATTTCATTTCAATTCATGTTGAACTAAACCACTTGGCATAACACTGAACTGCACCAAAGATGGTTCAGCTAGGTGGTTATTCTATTATGACCCCTTAGGTTTACATTTATACTTACATTATGTCCTTCCAACTCTGTTTTTAACTTATTCTGGGCCCACTTAACTTTGATATTCTGAGAACTGATATCTTCTTTTTGTTTATCAACTACCTTCTGTAAATTAGAGATTTCAGTGTCCTAGAAAAATATAGGGCAAACCATAAGTCTGAATACCGTACTCATCCGACTTAGCGCCACGAAAATAGACATGGGCTATCAAATAAGGTTTTTGGACGGGGGTTTTAGTCAAGCCACCCCACCAAAAAAATATGTGAATGACAATTTTAGTTTACCACGTTAGAAGAAATATTTCATCTTTTTGGGGCAAAATAAAATTGTGAAATAAGTTGCATCACCATTGATTATTGTACTGAACCAATTTCTCCGGAAATTCCCAAAGGCATGTTTTTTTTCTCATTTTTTTTTCAAATTGTTTGACTAAGACCTGAAGCCAATGGGAAATTTTGTTCATCTGGTCTAAACTTGAGTAAGAAACAAGCCATGCATAGCACAGTCCCTGTTAGTTATCAAATTTAGGATATATAGTTTTGTTTATAGTAATATAGTTGGAACATTAAGTATGGATCCAGCAGTTGATGCTTGATTATAATGATTTTTTAACATTAAAACGATTGATATCTTGTATCTGATCGTCAAACGAGTACTTGTCCATATTGAGAAATAGTGCTCTGGAACAGCATTAATTAAAACAAAATGGCCACCAGTCGGCCATTTTGAATATATCTATATATCTATAACACGATGTAAAACAAATACTAGTATATAAAATTTGAACATAATCAGTCAAAGCATATCAGAGATATGGCTCTAGAAGCGCGTTCATTTAAACAAAATGGCCCCCAGTCAGCCATTTTGAATCCGATCTGAAAAATAAAATGACGTGCATCAGGAACCCAAAATTTCTAATGCATGTACCAAGTTTGAACAAAATCCACCCATAAACGCCAAGATCCAGTTCTGGAATGCCAGAAATGCTTGATTTTTGATGATTTTTTAGCACAAAAATGGCTGCCATTTGGCAATTTTGAATCAGATAGTCAACCCAATATATCTTTGTCATGATGTACAATGAATATATAAAATTTGAACATACTCAGTCAAAGCATGGGAGAGATATGGCACTAGAACTGCATTCATTACAACAAAAAGGCGGCATCAAGGTCCCATAACGTCAAACATATGCACCAAGTTTAAACAAAATCCATCCATAAATGCTTGATTTTGATGATTTCTTAGCACAATAATGGCCACCATTCAGCCATCTTGAATCAGATTGTGAAACAAATTGATGTGCATATGTATAATATCATGTATGATGTATGTGTGAAGTTTGATTGTGATTAGTCCAGGCATTTCGAAGATACAGGTCAGGACGCACACACACACAAAGGTAAAAAAAACCATAACCATAAGAACAGGAACTAATTATAGAAAAATATTAAGTTGTTATAATTACCTTGCCCTCCAGTACACTTTTTACTTTGTTTCTTTCAGATCTGATAGTTTTTATTTGCACCATAGCTCCCTCCATCTGTTTGTTTTGTTCCACAATCCTCTTTTCAAAGTTTTCACTGATCTTTTTTTGTTCCAGTAATTCTATCTCACTTTGGGCAAACTTTATCACCATGGCTTCTTTCTCTTTCACTTTATCTTCATACATCTTGCGCACCTACAGTCAA